CTATTTTTCTTGGCGTTCTCTGCAAGACCCAATTCAGCCTGACCTTTGCCAGTTCTCACTTCATGTCTTGGGTGTTTCAATCCATAGGGTAGGCTGCCTTTTTCCTTTACAGCACAGTCCTTTTACCCCCTCCTTTATCAGCCCTCTCCATCCTTTTATGTAGTTATTTTCTTGGCCAGCACAAAAGCCTTTCCTGGGCTTGAAATACATGTTCCAGAGATCAAAGGTGTGAAACCACTACAGGAAGCTCCAGGCCACCTCTGTGTGCAAGTCCCCAACCTGCTGTCAATCTGTTTGTGTACTCGGGGCTGCAGACCTTTGGGGCAGAGCCCGCAGCACGGCGACGGGCAGGGGCTGGGGGTCGAGCAGTGGCGTGGGAGCAGAAGCAAGACCACAGGGAAGGAAGTTCCTTGCTCCCAAGGATCAGGATGAGAGATGGTCCCAGTGGCCTGTTTTTATCTCGTTTTTATCTCATTTTCTTCTCCTGGGGAGGCACCATGTATGGAGTGATGCTTGGCAGCCATTCTGCTCTGGTCCCTCCGCGAGCTTTATCTTGCTGTCATGTCAAAGGGGGAAGCAGACAGAAACATTGCCAGTCCTTCCTCATGCTGCCTGGTTTCTAATCTAGCATGAAAATAGCCTTGGCCATCTTTTAAGGTAGAGAGAGAGCATGGGAGTTGTGCAAGATTCAGGGCATGTAGCTTCTAGAAGATCAGTTAGGGAAGGAATGGTAACGCGAGGCTGAAGGCAGCTGGACAGCGTTGTTTTCTTTGGCCACGTGCTAAAATAAATAAATAATAAAATAAAATGATAATTAAAAAAAGCCCCAAACTCCCTGAGCAGAGTTTTGGACAGGCCAACCCTGGGATTTGGAGCTGTGTTCTACAGAGTTCATTAGTGTATCGCTCTGAGGCCAGAGGACAGTTTCCTGTTAATGCCCAGAGCACCAGGGTTTTCTCTAAGGACCCTCGCTGGGTAGATGTGAAGCAGGGAGCAGCAGTGCTGCAGTGTCCCCTTCTGCAGTGAGAGCAAAGAGGTCTGGCTGTGGCTGCGTCAGGGGACGCTTGTCCTTTGCACTCTGGCAGCTGGGTTTGGATAGTGATGTGCTATGGGGTTTTGGGGCCTTCACCCCTGAAGAAATAGAGACCAGGCTGGAGAGGGCTCTCTGGGGTGGTGTCTCCTGGCCCCAGTGCCTGGGAAGGACCAGGTTGCAGAGCCTCTCCAGCAGCACCATCCTACAGCCAGTGCCATCCCACTGCTGTCCCCACCGCCGGCTCCGTTTTGGCCATCAGGAAAGCCATTACCACGGAGAATTTCATTTCAGCCTGTGTCATCTGGAGCAAATGTCTACTTCTGGTGCTTCTGCCTTGCGTCTCTGCGCTGTGTCTCAGCTCCCCAGGCAGCCCTCATCCTTCATAGCCCAGCTTTAAAATACCACCACACTGCTGCATGACAAAGATGTGACTGGTGCCACCCTAATGCGATGGAGCCCTTGGTCCTCAGCATGTCCCCTCCAGCCCTTCTGTTCCCCCAGCTCTGCAGGGAGGACTGACATCCTACAATGTCTTAAAGTCTGCTGCCTGACCCCCAGGCCCTGGCTGCTCTGACTCAGTGCAGGGATGCTGGAGCAGCCATTGCTGAGTAGCACCGTGGTGTAGGAGATGTTCTCCATCTGTTTGGGATTTGGAGAAACATCCATGGTCTCCAGCATATGGGAGTCTTTCACTTTTCTGCCAACACAACTGTTTTTCCAAGGCTTAACCGTTGCCAGAAATCCATGGAGTCAAGACCTGTTATTTCTCTGGTTCTAAGGAAAATTCACCCCAGTCTGCTTTCCACCAGAGAGAAAAGATCTCATCTCAGAGAATAAACTCAGGCAGAAAGTGAGCAGCCCCTGATGTCCTCTCTCACTCAGTAATGATAAACTGGGGAGGGATCATTGTGCTGGGGCTGGCAGCTCGCTACTTGGCCTGGGTACGCTCTGAGCTGCACAAGGAAGTCTCACCCATTCTCACAAGATGTTTTAAGCATTTTTCCAACTTGATCATGCTTTGGAAGTGGCTGTGCTCCTTCCCCATGGTGCCTTAGGCACTGTGAACAGCATGACGAGCTTGCTGCCATGCCGCCTATGCAGCTCAGCGGAACGCTCATGCGGAAAATCCCCAGGTAATTTACCCTGAGTGGGATCCTGTGATTTGCTGACATTCCTCATAAAGGGAAGCAAACATGAAAGGAACGAATGTAGAGGTGCTAATTTGGAAACTCATTTCGACTAGCTCCTCACTGACGTGGTAACAGTTAGCAGGGAGCCCCAGTGATAAATAATAGTTGCTGAAATCCTGAATTGGCTGTAATTGGCACGAAGCAGTGGAATTCCCTGCGTGAGGTACAAGTTTCTCCACATTACACCCTCCTCGGCAGCCGCAGGTGAATGCAGAGGTAGCTTTAGCTGCACGAGGTCGCAGAAGCAGATGTCCTGACACATGCACACCACAAGATCATATGCAGCCTCCCATGCCAGCATGGCTTTACATCACTTACTGCTTCTGGGAGCTATGGGGCTTTACTCCAGAGGATGCCAAATGCTTCTATTTAGCTGCTCACTGTAATTGCTTATAAACTGGGAAGATCCCAAAGGGACCGTTACTTTTCTGTGCTGAATGCTTTCCTCATTCACTTTTCACGCCAACACCTGCAGGGACCCCTGAGCCCAAGGTGTGTTTCCCTGCAGGGCTGGGCCCCTCTGCTGGGGCTGGGGCTGGATGGGACGAAGAGGGCCAGGATTTTCTCACGGACAACTCGCTTTCCTTCCTGGTGGCTCACCCTGCCCAGAACCTCTGGGGAGGAGAACACAGTATCTCCCTGACAAGGTGCCTAAGATGCATCAGCAGAAGTGCCGTGGGTTGGGAGCACAGCAGCAGCTTCTCCCTCCCCTGGGCATGGGCTGGGGCTGCTTCTGCCACTTGGATCCACCTTCCAGCACCGTGGCCAGACATCTAATGGCACCTGGGAGGCTGGGGGATGTGTAAAGAAATGCAGATGGTGAGAGCAAAGCTTGGATGTGGGCTGTCTCTGCTGAGTGTTTTTTGGAGTCAGGAGCCTGAGATTTAACCATTGTGAAATTAAAATTTCTTTTCATGGCCTTGAGTCTTCCAAAAGAGCTGCTGATGCTGATGTTTGTAGGTCTTTGTGGTTGCAGTAACACCTTCAGGGTATAGACACTTTGCTTGTCAAGAGAGGAAATTGTGCTGATACCGTTGCAGGTTTTGTTATTTTTGGGTGGCTAATGTGCGACTCAGCCAACAAACCACAGAGCCAGTGGTCACATCAGCTGCGTCTCAGAGGTAGCATCCTCCATCACTGCTCGACAAAGCAATTGCAGGAGCAGACAGGCTGTGTTTCTTTGTAACCACAAACTCTGAAAGATCTGTCTCTGCCTTTCCAACACCCTGCCTGCAGCAGCTGGGTGTTAAACACGCCTAGGGTGAGTCAGGTTCAGAGCACTGCTCGGCTATTCAGGTACCGAGCGGGCTCTCGGATGGGTAAGTTAAAGTCAAAGCTATCTGTTGGGCTTCTTCCATCTGTGGCACCTCAGGCATCCCCATCCACTGAGATGGCAGAGATCTGCTTCTGCTTATCTGAAAAGGAAATTGCTGTACAGATTGTGAACTGTGGCAGCTAGACCACAAAAGCAGGGCAGCTTGTCTGGCACAGAGATATGAAAGATCTCACCTAGCTGCGCTTGTACCTGACAAAGAGTAATTCCGTGTTTTCTTTGGCTGGTGGTGCTCTGAATTTGCCAACTGCTTTGATTTATCGTGGCTGATTGTGTGGTTTTGGCCCTGCTGCACTCACCATTACAAGCTCATAGCTAGGCTCCTTCCACGCAAATTTGCTCCGCTTTGAGTAATTTCTAAGAGTTTGTTAAATCACAAAGGTTTCTTCTCCCTGCTCCTTCCCAGGTAGTGGGTGTTTGATGTCAGCAGAAGCCGTGGTTTAGTACATACACTTGTATATTTTCAAATGTCTCTTCTGTATGATAAATACCCTTGAAATATGGTACTCTAAGTGGCTCCAGAAAGATTAGCCCTGTTTGAGTTTTTTTGGCTGCAGCTTTTGGCTGCACGTCCTTTGAAAGGCATGACACGTTATTTAAGAAATATGTTGTGTTAGGCAAACTCTTCACAGGCTGAAGACATCCAGCAGCAGTGAATGATAAACACTTTATGCATCAGGAGATGTAAATCTTATTTTCATCCTGCCAGCCTCATGTCCCGAGCCAGCCTGGGGGCTTGGTGCCTTGTCCCCTGAGTGCCTATCACCCTTATCATCGGGGCAGGTGGGTGGTGATTGCCTGCTCTATGTGCATAGAGGGTTCCCTGGTGAGCCCCAAGGGCCCGGGGTGCAGGGAGAAATGCAGATGGGGTGGTAGTGCCCGAATGACCCCCCCAGGATGGTGGCATGGTTTCCTGCCGTGCAGCTGGGAGCAAAACTCCCCCTTCTCTGCAGCTTCAGGCTCTCAGAAAATTGAAGGCAATGTGAAGCCATCAACTCACAATGAGTAAAAGATGCTGAAGCTGCAGCTCAGAGGGGCACAGTCCATAGGGAGGGACTCTCAGGTCCTGCTCTGACTGCTTGATCTGCTTCCAGTCCCACGCAGAGCGTGTCCCCCTATCTGGGACTGGTTTCCATAAACTCAAAACAAGCTCAGAGATGGCTAGCAGGGCTGCAGCTGTGATTATAACCAACCTGACCTTTCCAGACGCTTCCCTTCCTTGAGCTGGAGCACAGCTTTTCAAGCCAGAAGGCTGATGTCAGGATTGCTTCATTCAGCAATGTTAGGAAGGGCTAATATACACCACTAAAAGCTTGCTAATAGCTCTAATTAGGCTGCAGCTGATGCTTCCTAAGTGGTTCTCCTTCCTCCTCCGCCTCTTCCTTGCAGCTATTTCCTGGTGGAGCTGAGGAAGGTGAGGTGGATTAATGCTACTTGGGGAGACAGTCAAGAATCCCAGCTGCATTTTTTATTATTTTATTTATTTTTTTAAATTTTTTATTTATTTTTTCCTACTGGGTCAGGGGGGAATTTCTCAGGCCAGCCATCTGCTTCTGCCTGGACTGAGTTGAGGTGCAGGTGAGATGTTCATCTTGGTGCTGGGGTGCTGGGAATAAGCATAGTTGGGGAAGTTGACAGGCTAGAGGTAGAATGGAAATGCAGCTTTGAAGAGCAATTCACCCTTGCTGCTGGGACCTTTCCTGGCTGCGAGAAAACCGTCAAGTTGTGTCCTTAAAGTCATGCAATCTACCCCCCTCCTTGGCTGAAAGAAACTGTGATAAAAGGGTTTGAAGAAGGAGTTCACCTTAAAGAGAAAGCTTTGTTGTAGCTTGCTTTGTTGTTGTAGATTTTTATGCCTTTTTTTTTTTTTTTTAACCTTGAGTAGGGACTTGCACATCGAGACTTTAAGCTGCCTTGTGACACACAAGATTTTTAAGCTGCTTTCTTTGTGCTGAGGATGCTGGCCCTGAAGGCACGGAGGATGCCTGCAGAGGGGGGTGTTTGGGGCCCACCACCACCCACCACCTATTCCCCATCCACCCGCAGCTGTGGGGCCTGGGCACAGGAGCCCTGGGATCCCCCTGCCCCAGGTCTGAGGTCACATCCCCCAAAATGTGCCACCAGCTGCCCTCCAGCCCTTGCCTCTGAGATTCGTGTGCTGCATTTCTTGTCCAGATCCTCTGCTTAAAGATGACTTTTTTTCCTGTGTGTAAGCAGGCTCCTGCAGCACTGTGGAAAACGCTGTTGGCTGTGCTGTAGTGAGGTGGGTTGTGAAGCCTTCGCAGAGATCGAGGCAGCAAAACTGTGGGGTTCTGCTGTTCCTTGGGTTGAGGAGCCTAATTCTGGCTCTTCTCCTACACTTTGGAGTACGGTTCCTATAACGCAGCTGAACAACCCACTGTGCAACCTCTCTCCGTGGGGATGCATGGGCATATTTTGAAAGCCTCTTTGCTTCAAACCCCCACAAAAAAAAAAAAAAAAAATCAAGCCACGCATACTTTGGGGAAAAAACACCCGAGCAGATGACTTGGAAATGGCTCTTGTGTAGTGCTGGCATTGTGTGCAGGCATATGTCCTCCGCTTCTGTGGACCTAAAAGCAAGTAAACATGATTGTGTTAGCAGACCTTGTTTCCTTCTTAGAGATCAAAGCAAAGAGCAGGCTGAATTCTTGTGGTAGTGATGGCTTTTTGAGAGAGGCCTTCATTGAAACCTCTTATGGGGGAAAAAAAAAATCCTCCCCACCACAAACAACCCAAACACCTGATGGGAAATGAAATAAACCCTGTCCCTCCTACAGCCCTGGGCAGTGACGGCAGAACCTGGACTTTGTGTGGTGTGGGGCCGAGGGACCCCATCTCCCCGTGGGTAATGGCTGGGACGGGAGCAGAGAGAAAATAATCCCTTCAGCATGGGCCATGGCATTTTCTGCTGTGTTTTTAGGCATGTGCTAGGGATGGAGATGGCAGAGGAGGAGGGGAGCACCTGGTGGCCTTGCAGGTAATAACCTGCAGCGGGATGCAGGTGGGAGGCTGCAGGGCTGCTGGTTGAGCTGAAGTCTTGATGCTGCTGGAGGTGAGGAAGGTGGGCTGGGGAACCTCTTCTGGCTCTGTTTCCCTAAAAGGTGCTGTTAGTCTGAGCAGCCCCAGGGCTGAGCCCACGTACTGGTGCGTGCAGAGCATGGGGGCAGGCAGTGATGGCTCAGGGCAGGACTGGTGCTGCAGTCCATGCAAGGTGGGCTGGCTGTGAGTGCCTGGTGTTATTTTAGCTTCAGCATCTCCCTGGGATGTCAGTGATTTCAAATGATGTGCGTGTTTCTCTAGGTCTCAAAGAGAAGGACAGCTGCCCATCCAGTTGGGCAGGGATGTAACCAGACCTAGGACTACCGTGGGATAAGCATTTTTCTACAACAGCAGGCCTAGGAGCATCAAGGTTGCTTAAGTTTTGAAAGAAAAGCCAAATTCCTCACATTCTGTCTTTGGGACTCGAGGGAAAAACATTCCTTGAAATCTGCCAACACGTTTTGTGCTGGTGACGGTGCTGGTGACGGTGCTGCTGACCACAGGGGAGCTGAGCTCTCGCAGTTCCCAGTATCCCCTCCCAGCCACTGGGAGGTGGCTGCGCTTAAGCAAGAGTTGTGTGGAACTCATCAAATGTCATGCACCAGGCATCTGATCCCTGGATGTATCTGGGAACTTGGTGAGGGCTCATTGCACTTTCTGGGAGCCTTGTTGCCCAAAGGGACTGGAGAGAGGCGTGGAGCTCGCTGCTGGTTTCCTACATCCAGCTGCTACCCATGCAGGGAATGACTGCACGTGTGCATGGAGGGGTCTAAAATACTCCAGCCTTGTGCTGTGGCTGCTGTGAAAACAAGAAGGTGGCCAGCACCGTACGAGGCTGGAGGCAAAAATGCTTCCTTCTGTATTTCTCACCAAACAAACTGCTGGGAGCACAGCTGATGGAGTTGCTGCGCTGACTGCAGGTGAAGAAAATACAGAGCCATGCAGGCAAGTTGGTACACGCAAAGGATGGAGCTTTTTAAAGTGAATATCGAGAAGAAAAGAGCCCTGGGTGTGCTGTAAGCCTCATGTTGGCTTCCGAGGTCTGGACTTGTTCTGTCAGCGAAGGCAGAGCTATTGGTGTGCACGGACCTTATGTGATTGTTTTGGGGGACTTTGGAGCTCAGTGTGTGTGTTCCTGGAAAACCAGTGTGGTGCGTGCTCTGGGCCAGGTGCTGTGGTGCAATCTGGGAGCTGAACAACGCTCTGCTCCTCGCCATGCCCAGGTACATCTCCTGCTTCCCTGGAATCTGTAGCTGTTTGGCAGGCTGCAGGGCTGGATAGCGTGGGGATGCCAACAAAGGGCACTGGCAGCCTTCTGCTGGGCACCCTGAATATCTGCTGGCCAGTGGATGGATGCTGTCTGGCTTTGTCCCTGCACAGGTGCACTGCAACTCAGCCCACGTTTCCCTCTCCCTGTTCTCTTGCCTCCAGAGCTGTTTTGCTCAGCTCTGCTGCAGGAAAAGCAGCAGGGGTGTCCTGAGCCCTTCTGCCTTCATTTTTCAGGACTCTGAGATCTCCTGCTTTAGGGTCACTTGTTCTTTGGCGGCTTTAGGGTGGTCCTTCACCTGGTTCCTTGCACAGCAGCAAGATACCAAGGAGCCTGCTTGCTCCAGCCTTCCCCTTTCAGGTGTCCCGAGAGGTTTGGGAGATCTGGCAGGGCATCCCATGCTGTGCAATTTGGGTGTGTATTTGCAACATCTGTTTTTCCTCGCAGCTAGGGTTTGGAGGCTCTTTAAATGCAAATAAGGGCAAGCTGCACAAATACTCTGCTGCACAAATGCTCTGCAGCACTGCATGCAAGTAAGGACCGTGGGAACAGTTTTGGGGGTCATCCCATCATTCTGCTGCCTTTGATGTAAGCAGTGAATTGAGAAATGCTGTGCATGGAGTGCCCCCAAAGCTGTCCTACATGTGTAGGGCAAATGCTCTCAGAAGTGCCCTGGGGCATGCAGAAAGAGCAGCTTGAGGACTGTGTTATGGCAGAGCAGTGGAGGAGCTGGGGCACCTTCCTGTAGGAGGCTGGGGATGTCAGCGTGTTTCTGGTGGTGGTGGTGGGGGGAATAAAAAGGACAGGAAATGCCACGCTTTAATATTTCTTATGAAATTCTGGAGGAGGAAATCCTGGATGCTTCTGGCTGATTCCAAGGAACAGCTTCCTTTTAAAAGAAATCTGGATTTTTTTGTTCTTATGTAGAGCTATAAAATCTTTTAATTTATCGGATTGGTGAAATACATGGCAGAACAACTCTGAAACGTAGAAATGATGGGGAAAACCCATTTTTACAGGCAAATATCCAGAGAAGATTATCAGAAATTTCAGGGGGGGGGGGGGGAAAGCACCAGACTTGAAGCATTTCTATATAAAAATTCAATTTCACAAAACAATTTTTCCCATGTAAATATGTGCAGCAGGGAAGTTTCTGGGAAGGGATATGCAAAGCAGGCAGAGGGACTTCTGGAAGGAGATGCCTTTGCTGACAGGTCAAATAACTGACACAAATTGTGGCCCTAAATCTTACATCTTCAAAACTTTCCATGCCCTTTTTGGAAATATGTGCTTCCAGGAGACTGGAAACCACCAGACACTGGCAGCAACCAGGCGAGGCAGCTCGGATGAATTTTCAGCCGCCGTTTAGATGTCACCTTGTCAAAATCCCTTTGGAAGCTTCGCTTTGTCACTCGGACCCCGTGCGCACGTGTGACGGCTGCGTCCTTGCCGAGCTGCTCTCAGCAGGGGCTGGTGTTAGAGGTCGCTGTCTGTTTTGCCTGGCACCAGCCAAGCCTGTCTGATTATTTGGAGGAGAATTGGATGGCGGTGCTGAGAGTGAGCTATTAAACCAGGGCACCTGCGGATCCTGCTCAGTATGCCTGAGCGCTGCAAGCCTGCGCAGGTTTCCACCGTGCCTCGCACCAGCAGGCGATATTGGTGTCGTACCTCGGGCTGGGACAACATAATTATCGTCACACCCTGCCCTCCTGCCTCGGTGCAATTTGCTGTCAGTGTTGCATTAGCAAAGGGAAAAGAGGGGAGGAAAAAAAAAATCATGTTTCCAGTGAACAGGTAGTAATAGAGATGTTTGTGTGGCAGTTGTGACTGGTGTAATCTCGGTTGTTACACAGCTCTAAGCAGGATTTAAAACAGTCAAAGATGCCAAAACAAATGGCAAAGAGATGGACGGTCTATTAGGCACAGCTCATTTGAGTCACTTGAGCAGGGAGACTTCTACCTGTTTTGTGATATACTGACTGCTAAATGAGAAGAAAAGGGGCATGGCCCGGGCAGGATGTGCCCCTGAGGAACAGGCTGGTGCTGGGTACCAGTGACCGCACCAGGCGAAGCTCTGAAAGCAGCTGTATCTGCTCAGCCCTTCCTTGGCTGCTGGGCTTGGGCTTTCCCTGCTCAGTGCCCAGCATGAGGGGAAGACCTGGCCCCATGCTCCGAGCCTGTGGTCCGACCACATCTCACCTGCCCAACCCCTGAGCTACAAAACCACCGTCCCAAAGAGCTGGCCTCTGTGCTTTTATTTGTCGATTACTTGCTTGGTTGATTTTGGGTTTTTCTGCAGCAGGACCTTTGTCTGGTTTGCAGTCAGCGTTTTCATCCAAAGCTGTTGCTTCGGATCCCCTAAGGGATCAGAAGCACACTTCCCCTTATAATCCAGCCTGGGCTGCCGAGGCCCCCAGAAATGCAGGACCTGCTCCGTGCCAGGGCTGCTCTGTGAGGGCTGGGCTGCTGGAGCTGAGGTGCTGTTCACAGCTGCCAGGTGTGTGGCCAGTATGGCGCAAGCAGCTTTCTTCAGCAGCACCCTGTTTCTCACTTGCAGTCCCACGGCAAGCCCTAGAGAAGAAGACAGCCAGAGGCAGCTGCTGGCTGGCTGGGAGCATCCTGCCAGTGACAGGACATGAATATCTCCTGTTCCAGCAAGTGTGGCATGTCTGCTTGCCTCTTCTGGTAATGGAAGGCACTTTCCTATCCCCAGCAATGGGCATTGCACATATGACAGTTCAACAGAGAAAGCCATAATTGCATAAACTAATGACTTGCAGAGCAAGAGCTTTCCCAGGGCTATATGAAAATGGCTCGTGTTTGTCAGCAAAGGGTAGACAAGGAAAATAAATTTCAGGGCCAGCTGGTTTATGTGCTTTTGCTAAGTCAGTCTGCTGCTGGTAAGGCTCTAATTGACCAAACTGTGCCCTGGGAGTCGTGGTTGTGCAGGGCAGCAGCCTCCGTATGGCTGTCGCTCTCAGCTTCCATCGCTCTGCTGGAGGTGTTTTCTCTCCCGCGCTTTCTGCTAGTTTTACTTCTCTCCACGTAATTGCTTACTTAATTCCTAAAGAGAAAAGAACCAAAACAAGAAACTTGGATGGAAAGATAGATGAAGAGCTCCTTTTGTACTGGAGATCATCATGAATTAATTTGACATCCTTGCCTTGGTGCAGTCCAGACTTCATTAAAGCATTTGCAAAACTCCTCCTGGCAGCCAAGCGTGCAGTGGAATAATTCTGGTCTCCCTATAGATCGAACCAGTATCTGCCTCTGGGTTTGGCTGGTCTCATTTAGGAAATGTTTGTGTTGCTTGCTGCTGCACGGAAGGGACTCTTTGTACTCTTTTGCATAACAAAGCAGCGTACTCCTTCAGCAGGGCATGCAGCAGCAAAGCGGCTGCGGAGGCAGCGAGTCCCTGCTGCGGTTTGTTGAATAGATGGAGGAGTGGAGCGGGAAACCAATGGGACAGTGCTCGTGGCCATGAAAATAGTATTTGAGATCGTTCTTTAAGTCAGTCTCAGAAGGAAAACCATCTTGGTCCCAGAGCGAAGAGGATGGAGTTTTTCCTGAGTTACCTTGGGTTGAGCATGCAGCCATCCTTACCCTTGCGTCCTCCCCAGGAACCCCATGCCCCTCGTGTGCGTGGCAGGGCCACGATGTCTGCAGGGCACGCAGACCTTTCCCTGCTGCTTTCCCATCTCCAGCAGCCAAATAAGCAAGCTGAAGTTACCGCAAAGTGGTTGTGACGAGCTGACCCAGGGAAAACGTGTTCTGTGCCGCTGTGTGCTGCCAGCCCCGTGGGCTCCCCCAGGGAGCAGCCGGGTGCGAGCCGTGCCAGCGTGGGATTTAATTTCATTTTCATTAGAAAAGGTGGGAGCCTGTTGTGAAATCGGTGAGAGCAGCCAATCGTAATAAACACTTCCAGGAATTTAGCTCTTCGGCATCTCTTGAATGAACAATGTGCATGCTGAGGGGCTGCTGGAAGTCGGCCTGCGTGGCTTTGGGGGGATGGTTACCCGCTAAAATTACGCTGCAGGAAGAGTTCCAGTTTTGCTAAATATAGCAAACAATGCGTACACAGGTCGTGACATCTATTGTGGGATGGAGGCAATGGACAACTGACCTGATATAGCTTCTGGAAATGCACTTTGGCCTGCAAGCAGGCTGCAACCGTCACCCTTTCGGCTCTGTGCTGGGGAATTGTGGACAGCTTGCTCCAGCGTGTGCGAGTGCCGTGGTGTTTGCCATGGCATTATTCTCACTTACACGCACGTAATTATATGTAGCAACTTCTTTTAAATAGTTTGAGGCAATGTAATGACTGTAATTAGGCTGCCACATGCTCCATAAAAAGAAAAAAATCCCCTAAACATAGAGCGCATTGAGCTAGCATGAGAGTAAAGTTTAAGAACCTGAGCATTTACTGCGTGCTTGATGGCCTAGCATCGTCTTTCCGTTTCCACGTGTGGTGACCTCCCAACGTGCAATGCACAGGCCATGGCTGTCCCCTCCTGCTGTCCCCCACCTCTGCTGTGACATTGCAGGAGCCTTGGCCAGCGCTGCTAAAACCCAGCTGATGACTTCTTGAGTGGCAGTTTCTCTGCAGAGCAGGTTTGCTTGCTTAGCCAAAGAGGGAGGATGAAATAAACAGCCCTGCAGTGGCACGAGACTCTGCAGAAGTGCAGAAGCCATCGTCTGTGCATGAGCAAAGCCGCTGGTCGCTTCTGCCTCCCGCAAAGCAGTGCTGACCCCGGCGCTACCCTCCCAGGCGTCCTCGCCTGCTCTGCACCCGTTGCCATCTGACCCCCAAGGGCTGGCTGGACGGAGGCTGCTGGCTGTTTACAAAGAGTTTAATTCCTTTCGCAGTAGCCTGGGCCTGTAATGGAAACACCAGCATTGGTGAATCTTTAAGTAAGCACGCAGACACTGGGGGAAGTATAACAACTCTGAAGAATAATGACTGAAATGTCAGGCATTTATTATGAAGTCAGTCCCTGTGTTGACAGCTGAGCCTATTTAAAAGCATTCTTGATCAAAAAAGCCAAAGGCAAATCTGATTCTTAAATAGCCCAGTTGTTCTTTTTGGCCTAGTTTTTAAGATTCTTCAGATGAAAAAAAAAAAAATGTTTAGAAAATATTTACAGACATGAGAAGTGCAGGATCATGTTACAGCTGGTGACATCCCAGACCTGCGCTGGCGTGAGGACAGCAGCTAGGGAGCAGGAGGGCAAACAGATCCTTTTGCCTTTCTCAGAGAGAGGCATCGTCAGCCTTCAAGTCGAGGTGCACGTGGGAGCTGGAAGAGCCAGAAGTCAGCAGGGCTTGGTATGAGGCTTTGGGGAGCTCTGTGGGCTTTTGGGATGTGAAAGGAGCGGTTGTGAGTGAGAGCAATTTGGTGGGCTTTGGGAGCTGTAGAGGTGAAATGGACAGTGCTGTGTGGTGTGTCATTGAAACACAAATACCAAAGAACCACCCTGAACTGCGTGTGGTCTTTCCAGGTCAAAGCTTCCTATGAGAAGGCCATAAGATTTGGCAGTGGGTTTCAGGTTTGGATTAGGGTTAAGAGCAGAGGACAAGGGTGGGAGTAGGGAGAGGGAGAGAAAATCCAGCCTAGCAGAAGAGATGGAAGGAAAAAAAATGTTTACTGAAGATTGAGGCTAAACAGGAGTGTAAAGCTCTTCACATGTGTAAAAAGCTACAGGGAGGAGGAAGAAAAAGCTTTTTCCTCTCCATCTCTTATGGCCAAGAGAAGATGTTGTGAACATAAGCCAAACCAGAAAGACAGACATGGGGAAATGGTTTTTGCTTTTGAAAGAAAATGGAAAATTATCTGAAGCCATTGGTTATACTATGACCTCCTCAGGCTCCTCCAAGCTTTATTTTCTAATTGTGCATTAATTTATGGTTATTACCTTGATATTAGGGAGATGGAACAGCTGGTGGTAGCGTTTTGGAAGGACACAATGCCAGAGCTACAGAGTCAGACATGGTCAGAGCCAGCAATGGGGGATGAAATCTCGAGTTGAGACCACAGACTTTGGTGGCTGAGGGTTGGCTTGGTAAGAACTGAACAAAAAAACAGTGTCTCTTGATATTTAATTAGGGTTCTCGTAAATGGAAGCACACCAGAGACGTCACTGTTTTCCCTTCGGCTAGTCACAGACGGATTTTGCTGACGCCTGGGTTCAGGAGGGGTGGCAGAGCATGCCCGAGGCCTCCAGACCAGCTGACATGGTGCAAATGGCTCCGTGGGGACAGGAAAGCTCTCCTGCACCCAGCTGTGCAGCCTGCAGTGTGACCCCCCCGCCGGGCAGCAACTCCTTGCCAAGCCGATTCCTGTCTGGCTCCACCGATGGGACCGGGGTCCCCTGGGACCTACCCACCAAGGTGTTACCCAAGACCTTGAATTGAGGCCACCAGACCTTCATGTCTGCTGGCAGAGGTAAAAATAAAATTAAAAAAAAAATAAAACAAACAAAAAAAAACAAACTAATTTTGAGGTCAGATGCTGGAGCTGGGAGGAGGTGGGCGGATGGCAGTCCCTCATGTGGCTCTCCTCATGTTTCTCATGTTCGCGGTGCTCCTGGGAAATGCACAACTATGTTCTCCTGATGAAGGACATACTGTGCTGGCAGCACAGTAAAGGACTAGATGGACCTTTGGGGCTAAAACAACCATTTCTATGTCCTCATTTAAATTTCATTGATTTTTCTAAAGAGTTATGTCTCCCTTGATGGTCTCAAAATAAAACCTCTTGCCCTGACCGGCACAACAGCCTCACAATTTCTATGTATTGACAAAGCGGTTTTCACACCCTGTCTCAACATGGGCAAGTTATTCTTCAGCATGCTCGATCAGAGGCTGAGAAAATTACATGCAGGTGCCTCCTGCTGCTGCTCCCCCTTGCGTTTCCCCTCCTGCCTTCCCAGGGGCAGGTGTTCGGGTGAGCTCCCACCTGCAGCCTGGCCACCCAGCGTCAGGTTTTCACACGAATATCTCCTCCCGACGTGGGCACTGCCCAATTAGGCACGCTGCCAGGGTACAAGTTTGCAGGGATATTTTTAGTCGTCCTCCGAGGTTCCTTTCCGTCTCTAGATTTATCTTGGCTGAAACAAAACAGTTTGCTTTCTATCCCAGACTGGTTTCTGGCTCATTTCTCAGGGTCAGGGAGTCAAGGAGTTTCTGGAAAGGATTCCCCGAACTCAAATGCTTTCAGCAGCAGCAGCAGAGATGAAGTGTGGAGGCTCTTACAGTGGCCCCACTGGTGTCTCACGGCAGGCTGTCTGGACTACCTGAGCATAGTGCTGAAATGGTGCCGTTTTTCATCTTCCACTTAATTAGGGCCTTTCTGACCATTACGCATATATTACATGCTGCTATATGTGTGTGTGTGTCAGGATTTCAGATGAGGAAGCCCTCTAAGCTCTCAGGATGGCAACTGTGCCATTTCCAGCATGTAAAACCTCCGGCTGCAATCCTCAAAGACCCGGTTCTGGAGCTCGTTTCCTCTGTTTGCCTTTCCGAGGGCCATCTGGATAGTGTTTTCCGTGAGCAAGTAAGAGCTGAGGACTGAGATTAACCTCCGGATCCTGAAAGCTGTGAATTGGGCTGCTCCTGGAAGAAGCTGCGCGCACCATCTCGCAGCCCCATTGACAGGAGCTGTTTGCATGGGAAACTTCTGCTGTCAGGACTGGTTCCTGCAGGAGGCCTTGCTCTCCTAGCTTTATTTCTGAGAGTGGCAGTTCAGCTGTGCAGCTCTAAATATATGTTTCCTGGGTTCGATGCCCTATTTAGGCCAAAGCCTGCACTTTGCCTCTAAGAAGGCACGAACTTGCCGTAGCAGTGAAGTAGCTGCCTCTGGGGCAGGAATTATCTTTAAAAGGAGTTGGAGTGGTGCGGGGGATATTTACCAGAACTGGAGCCGGAAGATGCTTGTCTGCTCCTGCGTATACAGAGGTGAATAATTTTTCCTAATAGCTTTCGGGGAAGTTAAGTTGTAACTAGACAGCTAATGGACTTTGCCAAGATTTGGGGCTATTTGTGGCTCTGCGTTAAGAAGGCAGCAGAAACAATGGGATGCTCCATGTGACCGAGCCATTTGATCCTTAATCTTTCAAACAGATTTTCCAGAGAAAGACTGGCCTTGAACTCTGTTGCAGTTTACTTGCTACCTTCACCTTCCTTGTGCTGTCAGGGAGTACCCCTGTGGCTGCATGAGCAGCTCTGAGCCAGCCAGCTCAGGAACATTGGGGTCTGCTTCTGAGCACCAAAATTAGCAGCAGCTGTTGAATTGGGTTGTGGAGCTCAGGGCACAGTGGCCGAGAAAGGGTTAGAGGGCAGAAATTTGGGGCTGTGTCCCAGCCCCTTTTTGCTTGGCTTGCTTTAAGTCAGCACAGTCTGGTCTGCACATTCCCAGGCAGGGATCCAGGCTCTGTCCCCCAGAGCATCCTGCTCGGTGTGCCAGGGACAGACCCACCCTGTCCCACCCTTCGTCTGCTCAGATCTGCAGCCAGGGGAGAGCTGCTGAGCCCCGGTGCAGATGCTCTGCATCGTGACTGCAGCATCCCCAGCCTGCCTGAGCGCTGGGGCAGCCAGAAATGCTTTCAGCTCAACAGTGACCGCAGTGATGGAGCTGAAGCTATGTCTGGTGCCTTGTCGGGGTTGGATCCGCTGGTTCTAGCATGCTTTGCATCAGGCATTCGTACTATCTCGCTGCTGCGTGCACTTGCTTGTCTCCTGTTTTTCAGCCAGCACCTGGCCCTTGGCATCATACTCCTGGGCTTCAATACCACCTGGGAGGACATCAGTGGGGAATGGTGCTCCACTGGGAGCATCTCCCATTCCCAGCAAAAGCTGTTGTTTCCCTTCCCCAGTACGGATGCTAAGTTCAGGAAATAGGGCTGGTATGGGATCTCTGATTAATGCATCAGATCTTGGTCCCTGAGAGTGATGTTTACAACTCTCAAGCTGGACACTCGCACTGACCTAATGTCTTTGTGGCTTTGGGCTGCATTAGCACCATCTGCCAGCAAGGGAGAACTTTCCAGCCCTCCCACCAAGCAGGTATGAGGGTGGATCATTGCGTGATTTCATGCCAGGATGTGCCAGGAAGGAGCTGACTTTCCCCAGAAACCACGTGTGATTTTCTGTTTGTGGTATTCACTCGTATCGAGTAATGCACTTAAGTTTTTTGGAAAAAGCCTGCAGTCCAGCCCTGCTACAATGATGGGTTCTTGTTCTGGTACAGGTGAAGGATGGGATCTGGGAGCTTCCCAAGGGTTGTGCTTCTCAGCTGGGAGGAAGCAGAGCTCCTGGTGGGAGGTCCCTGGCAGCCTGCATGGTGCAAGGCATCCAGCTTTGTGCCCAGGACTCACACAGAGCTGGTGCTTCCAGCCCCTGCTGCCCTTTGCTATGAGCAGAGCGTGCCTGATGCAGGATGAAGGCCAGAAAACTGAGTGTAGAACCCTTGGCTGAGCTGTCTTGCCGTCTACCCAGCTGCAGAGCATTTGGGATACTCCAGATTCCTGGAAGTTTGCTGACTTATTACAAACCATCACTGTCGTTGGACTTGACTCTAACAGCTCACAGACACTCGAAAGCTGGAGCCAAGCTGCTGCTCCAAATCTGCAGCTCTCGTTGTTGCTCCTTGCTCTGTGTCTGTGACTATTACCGTGCTCCTGGCCTGCAGGTGAGAAGTGCCCACTCTGCTCAGTGATGGTCCTGCCACAACCCCCAAAGCGCCACAGACAGCCTGTCTGTAGCTGCGCAGGACCACGTCCAGCTCATTCCCAGACAGTCGCTAAGGAACAGCTTTTCCACTAAGGAACAGCTTTTCCACTAGGTAGCTGTGGTTTAGACGAGAGGAAATTTGCAGTTTAAAAGCATCCTTCCATCCATTCCGTCATCTTCGAGCGAGACTTTTGCCTTGCAGAGTTAAGATGAGTGTTTCCTGTGGGGGTGAGACCGATTTGTTTTTTCTTTCTCAAGCCTTAGGCTTGGCAGTACAACCTCCAGCAGCAGTGCTGGGAACTCTTTCCCCGTGTCATAAAACTGCTGGTACTTGCCAGATCTCTCCTTGAGGTGGTCACAAGAGCAGCAGCTGAAGCAGTTATGTAGGTCTGTAGTGAGACCTAGCCCATACAGCAGAACAGACTCGAAACCTCTGCTCCACGGTGGGTGCTGAGGACACCACCCTCTGTGAAAGGCCAGATCCTGGAGGTGGCTCGCAGCGCTGCCAGCACACACCGAGCCCTTCACCTGCAGTAGGGGGGTCCCAAAGGGTCTCAACAAAGAGGAGGCTCCTCTCGCCAGCTCTCCAAACTGGGTTCAATTCAGCTCACCAGAAGGAAAAGTCACCTGGAGCTGAACATGCCCTGTAGAAAGTGGTCCTGGCAGCTGTAGCAGGGCCAAGGGAGGCTCTGCTTATTTTCAGCCTAGAAAAACAAACCTGATGATGAAAACTGGTTAATATAGAAGCCTTCGTACTGGAGAAAGGCTGGGAAGGCTGCAGCGGGCAAAGGCGGTGCCAGTTGCCTCTTTACAACAGGAATATTTTGAAACTACCAAAATACCAGAGTTTCTTCTCAGCTGAAGCCTTGCACATCATTAAAATTCCTTGGTCCATTTCTAATCCTGACCTCAAAGTTTATGATGATGTTATAAAGTCAAATGCCATCAGCAGTGGGAATAAATACTCCCCCTTGGACAGGGATATCATTGAAAGTGACGTGGGGAGGGCTTCCGTCAGCTGAATTTCACCATAATTTTTGCTGGCAGAAAATCCTCATTTTTTTGTTTTTGTTTTTTGCCATTTTTTTTTTTTTTTTTTTTGGTCAGCACATGCTGTCCTGGGCCATCTGTCCCCGGCTGTCTGTTTTTTGTCACTCTGTGACACCTCCTTAAGGCTTGACAGCTCCCAGGATTGCTTCAAAGACACTAAGCAGAATGCCACCCCACTTTGAAGAGCTCCTGCATCAACAGCAAACCCTGGCAAAGGTTTATTTTGACCAAAACTGGAAAGCGGGCAAGAACCAGACCCTTCTGATGTGCCGTGCTGTGTGGTAGCTGCTGGGTGGCCCTTGACCCACTGTTGCTTCCCGTTATCTCAAGCCTGACGTGGATTTTGCTGCCCAGAAGTGGCTGGCATTTAACAGAAATCCTATTTCCCAACAGAACAGTGCCTGGGGAGATGCAGCCCTGCTCAGCCATCTCACTACCATGACCCTTGGTTTGCAAGCTCAGGAGGCACCTCACTGTATCAAGAGCTGCTCTTGGCTAATGCCGGGTGATGTTTCCAAGAAAAGCCACAGGCAGGAAATATATTTTGCTTGGTGTGTGCTGGCCTTTTTGTAACCTCTCCAGCAGAGTCTGGGTGGAAGGAACCAGCTTGGACACGACTGGAGCTAGGTTGGATTTAGCTGCACCACAAAGTCCAAGCACAGCGAGTTAACGGGGAGGCTCAGCCCCCCTCCGGCCAGCCCCAGCTGCAGGGACCCCTCCAGGTAAAAACCCTGCTCTGTTTCTCACGATGCAGCAGAATTGGAAATACCCCAGCTGCAGGAGGCACATTTCCACGACGCCCTTTGTGCCAAGACGTCGAGGCAGTTTGCACTCCTAAACCCATTTGGGGCTTCCACCTTCAGTGCATTAGTTTTACGTGGGGAGTCATTTTTCATCTCTCCCTTGACCACAGCAGCTCTGGGAAGGGGAGCCCGCATTGCCCCCCTCCTGCCCCTCCTCAGCTGCTTTCATCGCTTAATTCGAGTGAGCACCGGAGCTTCCCCTCGGCTCGATCCCACACTTTTTTGTGCATCAGCCGCTTCTCCAAGGACCACAAAGAGAACTCCAGCAGCTATTCCTCACCGAATCAAACTTCAGGATCCACTAGAACCGAGCGGTCCCATTTCCCCAAAACCGGCACGGTTCGAGGGACCGCCACCGAGATGCTTCAACCCCCAGCCCACGCCTCGCTTCTGGCACCTCGTCGGGCTGCGGTTGATTTATTTATTTTTTTTTTTTTTTTGGGGGGGGGGGGGGAGGCAGCGAGGCCGGGCCCCCACCCTACAACCTCCTCCCCTCCGGACCTGCCTCCCTCCAGGTACCGGGGTCTCGCCGCTCGCCCCCGGGGCTGCCCCGGTCCCGGCTCCTCGGCGGAGCAACAGCGGCCTCCAGTGCCCAAAGCTCCTCCCGCGGGTGCGAGGCTCAGCGAGGCCGGAGGAAAAAAAGTCCACCCCCGCCCACCCCCTCTTTTTTGTTGTTTGATAGAAAAAATGCAGCTTTTTTGGGTTTTCCGGGGCGTTGGGTGGTTGTGACCTGCAGGGCAAGGCTCGAGCCGGTCCTGTGCTGTGCAGAGGAAGCGGGGGGGAGGTTGGCGTGGAGGTGACCTCTGGGACCCTTGCTCGTGGCAAAGGTCTTGGAGCACAGGATTTAGTGCTTTGTTCTTAGCGAACGTCAATGAGATTCATGAGAATGCTAAAATCTCCTCTGCTGGAAGTTTAGGAAGGGAAAACAGAAGTCTGGGTGCAATAGGGAGACTTGTTATGCCATGGCCTGACCCTCCTTGGGAATGTCCTGGCCTTTTCCCTGGGGCTCCAGCAGTAATTTTTGCTTTTGTGGATGTTACAGAAAAAAAAAAAAAAAAAAAAAAAAAAAAAAAAAAAAAAAAAAAAAAAAAAGAGGAAAAAAAAGGAAAAAAAAAAAACAACAACAAAACAAACAACAAAAAAAAACCACCAAAACCCAAAACAACAACAACAAAACCATATTTTACAGGAAGGGTTTTTTGAATGTCAGGGGAAGGGCTGTGCTGTGTGTGTGAGAGAAATCCCAGGGCAAGCCACTGCAGTTCTTCCAGTTTATTAGGAGTCTGTAGAGGTGGGGGACAGCTTTGTGCCATCTTCTCCAGCACGGTTGCACCTTTTAGTTTTGAGCAGGGTTGGAGCGTGGGGACGGGTTTTGGCACTTTCCCCTGTGCTTTATCCGCACATTAGTGTGTCTTTGCCTGGAAGAGAGGTTAAAAATGCCTTCAGGTGCCTGATACACAGCAGAGTCTGGCTCAGAGGATGAAGAAAGAAAGGAAAATACTGCTTAAGTCATCATTTAAGCGTTATACACTGTTGTAAGTAAGCTCACATATTTTTGACAGGGAGTTCAGGGTTACCATGGACATAGGTTAATTAATTCCAATAAGCTCAAGAGCTGGCACTTCCTACCGCCTCCTGGCAGAATAATTCACCTTTTTGCTGTAAGGACAGATGTTAGGCACCTTTGATGCCTGCCTGGCTGTGGATGATAAAGGTTACGACTTTGTGTGGGGGTTTTTGCAGACAAATGCCTGTCATTGTGTCAGCAAGGGAAGTTGCTCCCAACTTCCCTTGCTGACTGCTTCAGCATCAAAAGTGAGGAAAATATTAAAAAGGAACCTGCAAAAAATTGCTGCTATTATTTTTGCCCAGTAGCGGACCTAATTACTCCGAACTATTCTGTTTTCACGTGGAATCGTGATGTTGTCCTCTTTGGAAAGACCCACCCGGTTCTCAGGTGCATAGTGAAATGCTGGTGAAGTGATTTTCAAGCTATTTTGCAATTTGGAAAGAAGCATTTTGCACGCTGCTGCCAGTGGGATGACCACAGGCAATGGGTGATGCAGTGGTGCACAGAGACCCAGCAGCTGCTCTCGCTGTAGATATCCCCGGGCTCCTTGCAGCCCTCCAGCTGCCATCAGGCTGGTTTCACACCCTGAATGGCTGTTCCTAACCCCACAACTTCTTTGCTTGGGATCTTTACTGGGGAGCTGCAGAGCCTGGTGCTTAGAGCCAGAGGGGCAGCGCATTTCCAGGAGCCAGGAGCTTGCACAAACAGGAGTTTGGAGGAGAGGGGACTGTTAATTGTTAAAGCAGGGTGAGCACCAGCACCAGCTGCTCCCTTCCCTCTGTGGATCCACCACCAGCTCTCTTTTTCACACCCCATGCTTTTCCTCCCTTGACTCCCGAGGTCTCCATCCCCTTTGAAGCCAGGCTCAGCACCGGGAGGATTCATGCAGCGTCCTCAACACCGCTTTGCTCCCTGCGTGCCGGGCTTCGAAGCCTTCCTCGCTCTCATTCCCCCGCTGCTGGTTCCTGGCCAAAGCCCTAACGATGTTGTGTCTGACGAACCTCCCACCCCCATCTGCTGCACAGCGCAGCCGGCAGCTGGTGCTGGGCTGCTGGCTTCCAGCATGGTCATTACCGCCGCGCCAGGTCATTAACTGTGGCGCCTTCGGTCAGGGGATCCTGCTCAGCACCTCTCTGCCCAACTGCTGCTTCTTCGGCCCTTCAGTGCAAAAGAGCAGGGCAGGAGCAGGGTATGGGGCTGGAGCTCGGGCCAGTGAAGGAAAGAGGGGCTAGCCAGAGCAGCAGTTCTCATCCAGGCTCTTTTCTTTGGTGGTCTGGACTCTGTTCCTTGTTACTGCAGGGTTAGCTGGGAAGAAATGCTCCTAAAAGTAGAATTTGGCTCCACAGCTCCACTCATCCAGGGACAGAAAAGCTGGAATTTGAGCTCCTGTTAAAGGCATGTCTGCGGGTGGCAAATGAGTGTGTGATGATGGCCCCAAAACCCTGCCTCCAACCAGGGAAAGTCAAGGGTGAAGCTCCCTTAGCCCCACAGACTGGGGCACTGGGCCACAGACAAGCCTCAGTCTTCCCAACAGGGATTTTCCAATACCTAATAGCATCGAGTTGGAGGTAATTCCTTTGCTCGTCTGACATGGAGCACTTACAATGTATAAATACACTCCGAATTACCCAGGGCCCAAGCCAGATGAAATAAAGTAAGTCCTGCCAGACACTTCGCTAGCTATCGGACCTGGCCTTCTGCTGTCAGCGCAATCTGGCACCAGCACAGATTAAATAAAGGCTTCTTAAAAATAACCAGAGCAAATTGTAACCTTTCATATGCGGAGAAGACAGAAAGCAGAGCTCAGCTGTAAACTGCTGGTGTGAAAAGCCATGTTTTTTCCTCAGCCACCGCATGTCTGAGCTCAGCTGAATAGATATATTTTCCCTGCCTGTGTGCTAGATCTGGACAGACTTTGGGGGTTCTGCCATTTGTCTGAGCTCCTGGACACCCGCCAGCGCAGCCGAAGCCATCGCTGCTGCAGGTGTGGGGAGATTTTGGCCGGGTGGTCCCTGTGTGTGGGCAGATGGGGCTGCAGCGTGTGTGCTGTGAGGATCACCCCACGGCCCTATAACACAGCTGGAGCCCACGTGCTCGGAGCAGCAGGAGCAGCATCTCCGCAGGAGGCCAGATGAGTGCCAGATGTGCTGGGCTGGCTGCCCACACCCCAGCCAGCTGCGTGCTAGCAGCTTGCTTTCTAGGAAATCCCAGGCACATGTGGTACCATCATCTGCGGGGTGCTTGGACTTTGCAGGAGGTCCATCCCGATACTCACAGGTTCTGGCTGCACAGCAAGCACTCGTTGCTGTATAGGACATCATCCGTGCCACAGATGGGGTCGAAGATCTTTGTACAGCCTTTCCTTAGGTCGTAGTTGCCACAGTTTGCCTGGAGACGGGAAGGGATAATGCTGAAATTATTAAACATGCTTTCAGCTTACCGAAAGAGCTTTGCATTCACAGGGTTGTGCATGTCTTGTGTATCTTGGTAACCCATTGCAGCTTGCTCAGCACTCTGCTGTGAACTCTCAGAAACACTGGGACCACATCACCATCCCTTGGCCAGCTGAACTTCACCTGGCACTCCCATGGGAGTGACAATACTGAGCAAGTAATGCTCCACTGGGCAGTGTTTGACCAGGTTCCCCCCAGTTTTTATTGCCTTTGGCCACAGGGATGCCTGCCGTCACATTACAAGTAGAGAAATGGGAGCTCAGATCTTCTTGGCAGGTAACAGCAATGTTCAGCTCTGTATTAAGTTTTCCTCCTCTGAGTGTGGGGGAAGTGCAGTGGGAAACCAACACCATCACTGGGATTTTGCTGTGGCACAGCAGGTGGAAGGCGTTTCCCAGGCATCAGCACATGCTGCCAACCCAGCAGCTCACATTAATTCATTGTATTTAGCAAGAGTGGCTCTCAGGTGCATGGGGCAGTGCTCTCTCCCCTCAGCTGGGCATGCTCTCATGCTACACAGAAATGGGAGCCTTCACCTCTGTTCCTTGGTCAGCAGCGCCGTCTGGCTCAGCATCTCCTAGAGAAAATGTGGAGAGAGAGAGAAGACACCTCAGCACCCTTCTTCACTCAGGCTGGCGTCTTTCACAAAAGATGTTTCAGCCTGAGGACCATACATCTTTACGTTGTGCTTTGAAAAGCCCACCAAATAAATACCTCCCATCATCTCCCGTTTTGCTGCTGTGTCCCTGCTGCTGTCTGCCTCTTCCCCCTGGCAGAAAGACCATGATGGTGCAACTCCCTGCCAAGGCCAGATGCATGTCTAACAACTTTCCATGATGTTTGTTCCAGCTGCCAGGGAGCAAAGGTGGCTGCTGTTATCTCCTATAACTTGTTTGTGGGTAGCTGAGAAACTCCTGCCGGTGCTGCCCTGCTCCTGGAGTGAATCTAGGGGGATTTTTCTGGTGTCAGTGGTTTTGCATCACAAGGCAGCAGAACAAAAGGCAAGTTGCTGAAGGAGAGGATCTCCTGAAGGGTTTCTACTAGAAGGAGAAATGAGTGAACCCTGAGGTCTCACACCAAAGCTGGTGGGAGTGAGCTGTGACTGTGGTGGGCTTCTCCGTGGAGATGCTGGCCCTGAACTGATGGCTAGGATGGCACGGTTGGAACATGTGGTGGGGGTGTTTTCAAAAACAGCCTGAATTTTTCTATGAAAAAACAGTACTTAGAAGACCTTGGGTTGCCTATAGATCCAGAAGTCATTTACTTAGAGGATTTAGGCAACATCTACATTACCAGCCAGTGTGGCTCAATAGCTTTGGGGCTGCAGTGGGACCTGTTTGGTGCTGAGGACCTGACAGCTGCACCTGTTTGGTGTTTCAGGGACTTTACTTTGGATGAGCACCAGTCCAGTCCCAGGAGCTGAGTCTCGCTACGTGCTTAGCTCCTCTAAAAGGCAGCCATGTTCTATGCTCAGACTGCTCTGCAATGGCAACTGCAGCACGGTAAATAGGATGACGGAGGACTTGCTTCAGAAGCATTGGGAATGAGCCCCCCTAATGCAGAAATCCCTGGTGAGCGGGACCCGAAGAGCAGCAACAGCTCGTGTTCTCATCCCTCTGCACCATATGGGATTTTGAAAACACAGTTGGCTTAAATGTTGACTTTGGGAACGAGATCTGCATTTTCCCTTCTATAGATCTGTTTCCTGTCGTCTTGGCTTTGCTTTTTTTAAAACAAGAACAGCACCTATTCCCTCTAAAAGAACGGCACTTTCCTAGAAACCACCAGCTCCCAGACACATTCCGGCCCTGAAGGAAAAGTGTCAGCCCAGCAGGTCTGTTTGTTCTGGGAGCCAGACATCCTTTTAGAGCCTTTCCATCAGGCTTGCTTGCAGACCACCGGTTTGGTGCCCGTTGGCCTTTGCAGCATGCCCTGGGAGTGCTCTTGTTCCCTGCCCAGGCCTGGAGCAAAGTCCCAGCAGCAGCTGGCCTCTTCCCAGCCCTGCCTCCCCACGTGGCAGACGCGGGGGCTTTAGCGAGGAGAGGAACCAGCTCCGAAGCAAAATGTTGCACTCACCTTGGTAGAAGCAGATTGCCAGGAAGAGGAGCAGGAAAATACCGACTGCCTTCATGGTCAAGGTGATACTTGACTGGAGACGGCAAAGGGGAAACAGGACAGCTCTGGCTCCCTGAGATCCCACCTCCAGCAGCCCGTACCTGGACCTTTATACCTTTCCCCACCTCTGGCACCACCCTCCATGGCCAGCTCCACCCCGGAGTCTTGTGGTGATGACATTTGACACACAGGGACAAGGCCAGGTGGCAAATGGCACACCGGTGCTCACAGGGCTGAAAGCCTCAGCACTCGCCATGGAGGTCACCATCCTTATCGCTGGTGGGGCTGGTGGCAGACAGCTTGGGTCTGCACTGCAAAACAGGAAAAAAGTGATTTTGGACAAGAGGGAGGATGGGGAAATGGGCAGGGCAGCAAGGGGAATGCATCAGTGAGCTCGATCCCATTAGCAGGAGTAGAGCAGCTTTGATTAATGACCCTGCCACAGGCCACTCGCAGGGGCTCTGGGGTGCCACAGCTCCCCTTCCCACCCGGACAGATGGAGGCAGCAGCAGGAGATGCTGCTGGAGGGCAGAGAGCCTGGAGGTGCCTTGGGCTCGCTGTGGCTGCACGCTGAGTGCTGTTATTTTGCCTGCACATCTCCCCGATGGCAGGCAGGCAGCTGAAATGAGCTCGCTGGGTCAGATGCTGCCCATCTCCCTGCCTGCACGTTGGAGTAAGCCCCGGGGATCTCCTACATTTACTCCGCCAATAGTGCACTGTGGAGAGCGGATCAGTCCCCTGGGTATTAGAAGGATTAATTAATGTTTCTAAAGCACTTTGATATCTCAGCCATAAATCACTGGAGAAGTGCAAAGCAAATTATTACTAATGGGGGCTTATGACTCAAAGACAGATTTTTAATTAGCTGAACAGAAAAAGTCAATGCCAAGAGCAATTCAAGGAGCTGTTTGTGAGACAGAAATCTCAGCTCACGTCGGCAGCTGCTCCACTGTCCAGGGGAGACCCTGTCCAAACGTGGCTCTGGAGGATGCTTTCCCCTGCCAGAAATGTCCCTTGGGAGGCTGTTTATGTGGGGTTGGAGACTTTCCCTGCTTTCACCTGGGCTTCCCTCTGCTCTCCCTGGGGCGAGCAGCAGCACGAGGCTCTTAACAGCATCTCTCATTTCATTAACTCAGAGCAGAAAGCTGGCTGTAGGTATGACCTCCTGAGCCAGCTGTGAGCAGCTGGGCTGGGTGCTCCGTGGTCTCTGTGAGCAAGGAGGAGCCCTTTAGTGAGCCCAGAACAACGATCCCCATAGCAGCATCACCCTCTGAGGAGCAAGGGAGGGAGGGATGGGCATTTTTAACAACAGAAGAGGCTCATCTTGGATCCAGCACTGCCCCCATCGCTCCTCCAACACACCTGGCAGGTGAATAAAGCAGAGGGTGCCAAGAGGTGCTTTGGTCTCGCTTCCCAAAGCTGGAAGAGGACTTAGCCAAGGCGTTTATGGTTATACGCCAGGCCAACTGGGGATAAGATTTTTCTTTTCAATCTGTAACACATGTAAATAGAGCAGTGCTGAAAAGAGTTTCTCTGATTACCCTTGTTTAGGATGTGCCCACTCATGGTAAAACATATTTGCACATTTTCTAGTTTAGAGAGCCTCACTCTAGCCAGGAAATGTGATAGTTTTGGTTGTCCAGAAACAGAAACGTCTTTCCTCAGATTCCTTGGAAACATCCAGGCACATCTCCAAACTTGAGTTTGGTGGGTAAATCCTCAGTGTTTACGAAAGCTGCTCCGCAGATGGGAGCTGTTGGCTCCTGGGACTTTTCAAGTGTGTATAATACTGTGGTTTTCATCTTTCCTTCCTCTGCAAGTCAGGGGCAGCTGAAGCAGGGACCATCTGCTGACCTCTCCCTGCCTCCTGGACACTTCTCTCCTCATCCTCCTCTTTTAGGCTCCTGTTGGGTTTGCAGTGACTTAATTTCACGTCTGTGCCCCCTCCAGGAGCTGCACGAGATCAAGCACTTTAATACCGAAACAGATTGAAGGAACTCCACATTACGCAACACAACCAACTGAATTTTATTATTCCCTAACAAATTGAGCCAAACCAACTGATTTAAGGGCAGTTGCCTCTGCCAAAAGAACAACACGGGCTGCTAGCACTGCTGCAGCCAAACAGCAGCACACGAGGGCTTTAATGCGGGTTCTCTGTTAGCAGTTGCCCTCCCTCCCCAGACGCCTCTCCTGGCACCTGTGTGCTAGTGAGATGCCTTCAAAATGTGGGATTTCACATTCTGTGGGATTTCACCTCTCTCCTGATTGACATATTCTACATCCCTCAGGAAACAGAAATGCTCGGGGCTTTTTTTTTTTTTTTTTTTTTCTTTGAGTGGGGAGGAATGAAAAAGAGCTGTGAACCGCTACTGCGCTGGGTGCTCCTGGGAGAGGGAGCAGGGAGATGTCTTCAGCAGTGTGGGCTTTCTCGTGATGTGCCACCTTGTCAGAGCAGCCTGTTCCTCCCAACACAGCAGCCGGAGGAGCAGAGAACCATGAGTCAGGCGGCTCCCCCCGCCTGCTGTGCGACTCGCCGAGCTCAGCGCCCATCGTGGGGAGATGGCGAGGACCCGCCGGCTCCGAAGCTAATGCAAAACCCCATTCACTGTGCGGAGTGAGATGCCTGGCCGTGACAGGCTGGAGGAGCACTTGTTGCACCGGGGCTGGATTTTTTTTTATTTTTTTTTAAGGTTTGATATACTGAGAAAAACCAGCAGCAGCGCCCCGGGGAAGAGTTGCAACAGAGTCACCAGCCAAAAGCATTCAGAGATCACAACCCAGGCCCAGATGATCATGAATCACAGCTTAGAAGCCACAAATGGTTCTTAAGCCCGTTCAGAATAATGGCATTTGCCAACAGGCTCCTTTGAGGTGGTTCACATCTTCCAGCCTTCTGAAGCCGAGAGGCACTGGGCTGAAGGAGGAGCAGAGCTGCTCTGCAGTGCCAGGCCTGGGCGTTAAATGGGCAATACGGCACGCTTATGCTGGTGGTGCTGGGGCTGCCTGGGAGCTCATCTGCTGGGGGTGGTGGCCAAGGGATGGCCCTGCAGTCCCATCCCAACCCCTGCCACCAAGCAGTGGCCGTGCAGCCCAGACCCCGCACTGTGGCCCTGTGCTGGTGGCATCCCGGGGCTTTGGTTGCTCGGGGGAGGTGGTGGTGGCCTTCCTTCAGAGGCATGGAGGCAAAGCATCCTTTGGGGACCTGCAGAAGGGTCCTCAGTCCTCACTGTGTTAACAAGACAGGCAGGAGGCTGGCTGCTGCCCTGCAATGTCAGCACTTGGGGTGGGAGGAGTGGAGGCTGGAGAAAGGCAAATGGGAAGCCCAGGAGTCACAAGAGACATTTCCCAAGAAGGCCAAAACTCTCTTGGGTCCAAATCCCTAAAGCTCTGCTCTCTGCTCACTTTATCAGGCCCAGATCTTGTAGATGTATCTGGGACGTTGCCTGTGGAGATGGCTTTGAAAGCAGGCTGTGCAGACAGGGCAGATGAACGGGCCTTGTGCAGGGTGAGCCCACATAGGGGAGGAGGAGATCTGGGTGTGCACCCTCCTTGGTGCCCACAGGGAGAGCTGCAGGTCACCTGGAGGAAGGGGAATGGTGCAGCTGGATCCACTTGGACCCTGGGGGCAAAGCAAATCGTTTTGCATCAGGAAGGTGAGGGCTGGCCACTGTGCAGTGATCAGCTGTTCTTGTATCCAGGGGCTGCAGCTGAAACACAGATTTCCCACAGAAATAAACACAAACAAACACATAATTTGGCCGCTTGTTAATCCATAGTGATTCTGTCTTGCATTCTTTGTCGTTAATGCTGGAAAAACTATTTTGTTGCTCTGTGTGTATGGCAGATATTGAGCACTCAGACAGTTTAGGAAGAGGAAACCTCTGACTAACTGGTGTGAAAATACCACTTATTTTCTCCAGCTGTAGGAGACTCTTTGGAGCCCAGGACAGTATATCAATTTGTTTTCTCCTCTTTCCTGGGATGAAATGCTGTCCCTGGGGCCTCTGGTTTCAGGGGAGGAGGCTGAGCATAGCCACGGGCGAGAATTAACAAATGATCATTCCTACTTTTACCAAAGCTTCTGTTTGTTACCCTTCAACAAGGGCAGCGCGGCCACGATAACGACCTTTGGAAATCTGCAGGCATCGGCGGCTTCGCCTGAGGATGGGTATTGCTGACAACAGTGTCTGAAAACAAAAGCGTCGCATAAATCATAGCTTGGGTTGTTCAGAAGAGGCTGTGCCTGAATGCCAATCAAACGCTTCCTGAGGAGGATGAATGTGCTGGGGACAGGCGACGTGTTTGCACAGATTGCTGGCTGAAATTGGCTGGGCTGCAGCTGCATGACTCCCCGGTGTGGGGGCAAGCTCCCAGCACAGCTCCTGGCCCGTTTGCCCGTCCTGTCTCACTGCTGCAGGGACACCAAGCCAAGAAATTGCTGTGGCTTTTTGGGGTGAGGGCATGTGGCTGGTGGGACCAGCAATGGTCCCAGGGCAGTGGTCCTTGCAGAGCTTGTCCCTGCAGGGACTGCCCATCCTGCAGCAATCCCGGGTGAGGGGCAGTGCAGGGGGCTCCCAGCAGGGCTTTCTCTCCCCCTTTTTTCTGCCCCTCTCCTCAGCTCCTCTGTGGGGTCTCCACGGGCCGTGGGAGCACATGGGGTCAGTCGCCCAGAAGCTACATACAACGCAGAGCTCTGCTCTTCTTGCTTTCACTGGCATTATTGGAGAAAAAAACCATCATTTTCCCACTCCTACAGCAAATGCCTAAAGCAAAGAATTCCTTTATAAAATTGCTTCTTTATTAAACCCTTTCTGCCTCCCACCTCCAGTGCCCCTGTGGCTGCCAGAGCGATCCAGGGCAAAGCGATTAAGTGCTGCGGTCAATAATTGGATGAACACGGTTTTCAATCTCCTCCAGCAAGGGACTCTACTTTTCTCCAAACTAAAGCAGCCCCCCCGCCCACTCCTTCTTCCTCGCAGCTGAAGGACATGCAAGGATCTGGCATACCCCTTTTTCTCAGGGTCACAGACTCCTGGAGGATGATCTGCTCTAATCTGACCTTCATAGCACAGCCCAGCTCTGCCCCTGCTCCCACGGTCCACTGTGTGC